AACAATTTCCTTCTTCATTCAAAACTAACGTGCATTCTCATTTTCATCAATCGTTGCATTACCATTTATACGAGTCTCATTCGCATTCCCTGGTAAAGCACTTTGCAGCAAACTAGTTGCAAATCTAAGATCTACAATAAAGAAAATTGTGTTAAAGCAGAATTTTCCTTAACAAATAATTTTTAACATTCAGGAATCAGCACAATATACTTACCAGTTTGTGGATGTAGAACATCCCTAGTGTAATGTCCACCACAAGGTTACGTTCTGAAACACGTAATTATATTTTCTCCATAACGAAAACGAAAAACTTGTAACGCATGCGTGTTCGAACAATCAGTGTCTGACAGTTAAATGTCTCTAGAAATGTCTCCTGTCAAGAATGTAAGGTTATTTCGATAAATTCATTAATTAACTTTTCTACATGGTTTAAAGGCTTCACAATTTACATGTCATACTTCACCATCAAAGCCAGGGGATTATCAATTGCTTACAATTTTGCAGTAATAAGTCACTTTTATGTAATTATTTTATAATCTTACAATTAAATAAATACAAATTACTTAATTTGCAAATTAACAAGAATCTTCTGTGTCACTGTCTTCCCCTAAATTTATTATAATTGGCAGTATATCTTGCATAATATCTAACAATTTTTCTCTTTCATACCATTTCATTATTTCACCTTCAGTGTGTTTGATTGAATTTTTCCACATATCTGGTGTCACGACATTAACTGCTTCTTGCCACATATTTAAACAATCAGCCTCTGTTCTCCCATCTCTAGCAATATGTTTATTATAATAAGTTTTTGTTATACCCCATATTAACTCTATACGGTTAAAAATACAATGGTAGGGTGGAAGGCGCAACACTTTATGACCATATTGTTCCGCTAATTGGTCAACAAAATATGTTTTTTCTGGTTTAATTCTGGAAACTAATGACAGACGGTTCACTTAAATTTGGAAGCAATTGATTTTGAAACCAATGTAAGAAATTCGTCTGGTTCATTTCTCCGTGATAATCACCACTTGAAGTTTTTTTTTTTTTTTATAGGCTATTCGGGATCAAAGCCCATAAGCCACGTGGGGGTATACAAGAGTGTACTAAGGAATCACAGGGCCACACGCTTCACGATTCGGGGCCTATCGAATCGACTTTGAAATCACACAAACGATTAATCAGCTATCGGAAAATGGGTTGTATCGCACAAAGGAAAGGGGGAAAAACGGACTTGAAGTTTTTGATGCAAATAATATTAAATTTGCACCAGGTATGAATCCTTTCTCATTTCCAGCATGCACAATTATTTGTCTGTAACCTATTTTTTGCTATAATTATTGTTACCACTATTAATAATAAACCAACCGCTTTCCATCAGTTTTGATAGTTTTCAACAAATTGGCACAAATCTTTTTCCTTGAAATCTTTGTACTGGCGCAGAAAACAAATTCTTTTACTTGCCACAAGGGGTAGTTCCATTAGGCCTCGCCTGGGCTCTTTTTTTCATTTAAATTCAATTTCTTTTAGCACTGTTCTAGGAGATGACAGGCTCGCCTGACGGCTCGCCAGTCAACTTCTCCTATCGCCAGTAAAAACTCACTTACTTGGCTAATAATGTAAAATACTATTATCTGTCTTCTACAAACTCCCACCAATTTTATACTATAAAATTATATTGTACTATAATAGTTATTTATGCATCAAGGGCATTAAGGCGACATTTATGCCAAGGGCGACAGGGCCCCAGGACCTCCGACCCAAGGGATTATGAGTCGCCCGAGGGTTAGATATCGAGTAATGCCTGAAGTGCATACAAAATGATATTTTTTATCGTTCCAAATCATGCATTTCCAATAGAGACAAGTAATGACTATTGTTTGCCCAACATTAAAGTGCTTCTTACGAATCAAGTAGCATCTTTTTTTATTTCTTAATATACAGAGTGACCCAACGAGAAGTATACAGAGGGCTTTTAGGGTGTTAAATTTAGAAATTTAGAAAAATCCTCGAGCACGTAGATTTTGTATTCGAGGGGGACAACTTTTGGAATACAAATTACGAATCCAAGTCTTCGCCCCTCTACGTAGGGAGCTTAATCCCTAAAATTTTAAATGGAATCCTATGGCAAATGGCACATTATTTGAAAGCCAATTTAATCCTGATTACTAATTTGCTTTGCTTTTTAAATTCTATTGATTCGTTTCAGAGAAATCATCATCAACTTTACAAAGAAAGTTCCTGCAAAATGAAAAATGTGTCCGATAGGTATTTTCGCACAATTAGGACGTTGTGCGCGGGTGCGGAAGTAATGACAACCTGGTTATCTTTAAAGCATCATAATAGCTCTTTAATTGCGCAATTTTTCCCTAATTTGACCATCGTCATATCTTGGATAGTTTCGGATGTGTATATCTTGGACACAGTGTATATTGCAAAGGGGTCCGAAAAGGCGCAAACATGTCTGGTTACGGCGCATTTGAGCGCATGGTGAAAGGTACAAGGTAGTGCAAAAAAACATGTTAAAAACGTAACTTTTGAAAACGTGAAGTTAACCCCTACAACCTTTTTGAAAATGTATCATGACTAACAGTGACTGCGCTAGCTCTAATTCAATTGGTGCAATTGAGCGTATAAGCAAATGGCATAGATTCATTTAAATATCTTAACAAATACAAAAATTGGATTGCGCATGCGCAATATATTTTTTTCATCTTCAAAGTTGTTTGAGATTTAAGGAATATTTGCTGACACAGAAAACCGGGCATTCATATTATGTTCTCTGTAACATGAATTTATTATAAAAGATACCCTTCTTTGAAAGTTCGGGCAGATTTTGGGCAGTAACTTTTTGGCCCGTTAGTCTACGTAACTAAAAAACAATAGCGACCTTTCTTATATCCTTAAAAACATGTGTACCAATTTTCAAAGCGACCGGACGTTTCTAAACAAAGACATCGTGCACAGGCAGACGGACAGACATACAGCAGTGCAAAATTAAAAACTATCTCGAGGATCGTTAATACATGAACTACATTGCGGCATAATGCATTAACTCCAAACTAAGTAAGTTAATACCTATGAGTTATTGGCGATTATTGCAAACCGAGCTAAAATTGCACAATTAGAACATAACTTCGCCTCTTAGGTTTACGGCCCATTTTAGCGCATGATGTATAAAAAACAAGAATTTAATATCATTTTACGGTACATTTTAACGCATACCTGGGAGTACAATTTCGTATGAAAAGATGTTAAAAAAAAGTAACTTTTAGAAACGTTAAGTTGCCCCCCCCCCCCGCTTTTTGAAAATATGTCATGGCTTAAGCGTAATGGAGTTGGAGCTGAACGGTTAGCGGTGTGTGTTCTGCACAAGGCATAGTTATAGCTCCCTGCCTTTTCCTCAGCGTCCGCGTTATACACGCTATTAACTATCTCCCTTGTTTCATGTTAAGGTTTTTATCTGTTACAGAATAAGGCAGAAAAGCGCCTTTTTAATTAATACGGCCATTACGACCAGAGTTCCAAGGTAACGACTCTTTGATATAACGTTTTATTACATTACATATTGGTTTTCGATATAATCGAATTGTAATTACTATATTTGTTTGAATTGTCATTTATTAATTTTAGCTCCGCGGAAATCTGTTTTGAAATTGATAATTTTTCCGACCACGAGTTGATCCCCTAAAAATTGAGTTGAATTTAAACGTTTACATTTCAGATCTAGTGTACTATTGGCAATAATTTAAGATCGTTTATTAAATTGCTCTCGATTGCTTACGTTCTACATTGCCAATTATTTTTCTTTCTTAGTAAACCAGTTTTTCTAATAAGAACAATGTCGATGTTGACGGTTTCGCAGCCATGAATTAATTGTTTTAACAAATAAAGTTGTGCAACAAAAACGTTAATAAAGACTTGTTCGAGGGTTTCTAATCGCTTGATATGGTGAAAGGAATTGCTATCCCTTTAACTTGTAAAGAAAGCGCTCGGGTGGGTACTTAAGCATACCGTTTACAGGGGAAAGATGTAATGTGCCCCTTAGTAAATTATTAAACTAATTAGTAGACTAATTGCCTCGAAATAGGGGCGCAAATTTCTTCCTTAAAGGCGTGGTCCGAAGACGGACCTAATTACATTTAACGTTGTCGAAATTATGCATTCTAAAAGAAAATCAAAGATGACGCTCTTCGTTGATAAACCAAACCTCCTTAAATAAGAGGGCTGATTATAGATAAATGCAACAATCGTTGATGGAAATTACAATATGTCAAATATCAGCCAAAACCTAAAGAAAGATACACTTAAAGTACATTAAATGCAAATGGAGCACTTACGAAGAAGATGTAAAAACACGATTATACCCTCTCTATAATATAATAGTAAAGGTGAATCCGTTCAATACGGCGGAATCTCCCAATGAAATAAATTCAATTGCCAAAGATTAATAGAATGTGGATGGCGGCAATTAAAATTCCATGCGTTTTCACCAACGTCTCGACTGTTTTTCCAGTGAAATACAATCAGCTAAAGCTTTCACAAACGAAAAAAAAAGACGAAGGCCGACAACCGATAACCACGGCGCGGCAAATTGCGTGGTTAAAATTACAACGATAGATTGAGTTATCTCCTCCAAGGTTACGACTGTTACGAGGATCTTTCAATAAGTATTGTAACGAAGAAAATAAACCGTTATAGAGTGCGAGGATTGCACGCTTTTTTTTCTAAGAGGGTCCGTTTTTTCATGTTCGGATGGCTTTAGTGGTCCGAACGCTAGTTCGAGGAGGGTCATGGCTTCGTCCAGGTGGAGAATGACCTTCCGTTGGTGGTCTTCGGGTCGATGAGAGTTCGAAGGAGCATTTCAATTGTGAATGCACTTGGTGGGTTTCCTTCGGGCATCTTTGATCTTGCTCTTGTTGGCGGCGTCTTGAAAAACACAGTCCCCCGTTGTGTGCCACTGTTATTGGGTTATGTATGGTACCGAAATTATACACTGGTGGGTAAACTAACTTTATTTACACACACGAATATCAAACTATATGACCTCGTACGGACGTGTGAGAGCGTTATGTGAGTGGCGTGTGCACAGGTGTAGGAAAGGGTCGTTACAAACTTTGTGTTTTACTATCACCAACATTACAATACCACAATTTACTATCCTACTAGTGTTTAAAGTATCGTAAATAGTTTCAACGCAAATTATTTGGTTATCGCATTACTTCCATTCCATTTTAAGCTTGTATTTCACGGCGCAATACCAGTTAGTAGTCATGATGTGTTTCCCGTAGGCCGTAACAGTTCGCATCCCTATTTTCCACCTTCCTTCTGGCATGCCCGGAGGAAACTTAGTACTATCAGGCACCCAATCCCTTAATGTATATTTCACCTACATCGATGGTTAAAATAAGGGTGGGCGTGTCTAATTAGAACTTACCCCTTTAATGAGAGGCCATTCGAAGCTTGGTGTCGTACAGGAATGCATCATGCGAATTATATCAAAGTACTTGAAGCGAATTGCATCTTTGATTGTCAAGTTGAATTGGAGAATGTCCAGGCGATAACGATTACTCAGCCATTTGTAACCCGTTACCATTATCTAAAAATTACTTAGTATCTATTTTTAGAACATTCCAATCCTATTTATAAAACCATTCCAATGATAACACAAAAACACATCCGGAGTTCCTGACATCTGACGATTAAAAAGGAAAATATTCGAATGGTCAAAATAAATGGTTTGTAATGCTGCCATCTAATGTCAATGTAACGCTCCACTTTCGATCGCCCACGGACTTTCAAACGATCGAACTGCTCCTAGCGGCGGCCAGTTGGCACATGGTCACAAACTGTTATATGGGATCCGCGCTTCTATAGTTATAAATTCAATGTCAATACTTATGCCTAATAAAACAAATTATTATTTCTTATCTTTAAAAAATCGACATAAATTTCCGAAACTAAGCAAATATGTCTATTTCTAATTCTAATATCTTCTAACAACTAAAAGTTGGAGAAAAAATTTATAAGAGCAAGAGATAAAATTGATACAAATAATTCACCTCTTACCCGTTTCAAAGGCTTCCAATAAATTGTGAAACGGTCAAATACGTTTTAAACTAGAAAACGTGATAAGGATTTATAGAAAATCTCTGAACGATAACTTTTCCTATTAATTTCCAGTGAAAATTGTTTCGTAATGTAAGGCGAGGTTTCCCAAACCGAAATTCAAACCAAAGCAACTTATTATCGCAGTCGACCTTCTCCCCCACTGTATTTCGTGAAAAAACTATGTTTTAAAAGGTGTTGTTTAAAGTGATATTTGTTATTGGTCTCGTACTCACAATTAGCACATTTAAAATCTTTAGAATCGATATGTTTTAAAAGGTGTCGTTTGAGATGGTATTTGTCACTTGTCGCGTAATCACAATCGGCACATTTAAAATCTTTCGAATCGATATGTTTTAAAAGGTGACGTTTAAAGTGATATTTGTTATTTGTCTCGTAATGACAATTAACACATTTCAAATCTTTAGAAACAATATGTTTTAAAAGGTGTTGTTTAAGGTGGTATTTGTCATTTGTCTCATAATCACAATTGGCACATTTCAGATCTTTACAATCGGTATGTTTGAAAAGGTGACGTTTAAAGTGGTATTTGTTATTTGTCTTGTATTCACAATTAGCACATTTAAAATCTTTAGAATAGGTATGTTTTAAAAGGTGTCGTTTAAGGTGGTATTTGTTATTTGTCTTGTAATCACAATCAGCACATTTAAGATCTTTAGAAACGGTATGTTTTAACAGGTGTCGTGTAAAATAGCGTTTGTTGCTTGTCTCATAATCACAATTTGTACATTTAAAATCTTTAGAATCGATGTGTGTTAAAAGGTGTACTTTAAGATATCGTTTATTATATGTACCATAATTACAATGAGCACATTTAAAATCTTTAGAATCGGTATGTTTTAAGAGGTGTTGTTTAAAGTGATATTTGTTATTTGTCTTGTATTCACAATGAGCACATATAAAATCTTTAGAATCTGCATGTTTTAAAAGGTGTTGTTTAAAGTAGCCTTTGTTATATGTCTCGTAATTACAATGATCACATTTAAGATCATTAGAATCGGTATGTGTTAAAAGGTGTTGTTTAAAGTAGTATTTGTTATTTGTCTCGTATTCGCAATTAGCACATTTAAACTTTTTAGAATCAATATGTCTTAAAAGGTGTTGTTTGAGATATTGTTCAATATTGGTTGCATAATCACAATGAGCACAGTTAAAACTTTCTGAAACATTGTGTTCCAACTTACTGTTTCTGTGTTGACTGAAGTCACATTCAAAATCGTTGGAAACTTCAGTTTTAATATTCCATCCACAATCAGTTTGTTGTTGTACTTCTTCATCAACCAGCGATTTGGAGCACTGGGCAGCAATGGTAATTTCGTCCTTTATGGTAACCAATGCTTCGTTGCTTACTAAAATGTTTTCTTCGAAATCGGAATGGATTTCTTCTTCAAGTTTTGTTTCGATTTTAACGAGTGATTTGCCGCCATTTCCGTCCATATCTAGAATCAAAATAACGGGTTACACTTATGTTTTTCGTTTTTCAAAATTACTTACCGGACACGTTTCCTGGCTGCAGCTCAAGTACCGGTAAGGGTCAACTTTAGGTTCATAGCGTCTCACGTCCAGTGGCGGAGCGAGAGGTTTTATTTTATACTGTATCCCAATTAGATTGGAGTGATCACATACAGGGATGTGACTTGCGTGACGCTCCATAGGGATTTCAATGTAAAATTCATAACATGCGATTATTGGCTCCCCAAATTATTTTAGAGCAAAAATGTATTAAGGTTTTTTGTAGAAAAAAATTTTTACGTCATTCAACCGTATTAGTTTTCAATTTTTTGCATAATAAAGACGGAAAATTGGAAAAATAAAACCCGCATCTTTTGTAATAATCTGCGATGCCATGGAAATTTATAATACAAAAACAACGCCAATATCCGTCATGCCATGGAATGTCTGCGTTAAAACAAATCAAATTCTATCAAAAAGTATTATTTAGAACAGCGAATTCAACATAAAGATCTAAACGATTATTCCTAATATAACAATTTACAATAAATGTTCGAATACGTCACCATTAACTGCAAGACAGTAACCAAGTCGATCATAAAATCCATTTCGAACTGCTGCTAATTGATAACTGGATATCTTCTTGTTTTAGAAAATTCCATGGTATCGCAGATTATTAAAAAAGATGCGGGTTTTATTTTTCCAATTTTCCGTCTTTATTATGCAATAGTTATTTACGTTATAAGGCCGGGAAGTGGCTTATTAAAGTACGAGTTTAGGTGTTTACGGACGAGGCGACGAAGGAGCCGAGTTCGGAATTTCTAAATTGATCTTTTGTCATGAGAGGTTTCACCCTGTAGGTATATACAACTACGGCGATACATACATTTTTGAGAGTTGGCAACCATGCAATATCTAGGTGGGAAAAAGCTGCCTGCGCCAACTAAAAAGCACGTTGAGCATCTTATCTTGAATGGCGGTCGTGAACGCGTCGCTCCATAAATGTTTGTTGATATTTTTTGTTTTTTTAATGCAGGTAGTAATCTTTGCATTTCTTTATATCGTATTTGTGTTTTCAATTCCACATTTTATATTTTTTGTGGGTTTGAATCTTTGTTTTTGAAATTTCCTTGGTTTAACCGCAATGCATAATCACATATGTGATACCGTTATGCTATTGTTTGTAATTGTTTACATTTTTGGTGTAATGCTTGCTTAATTTATGTTTATTGATGTTGATTACTTGATCTTGTCCTCGAAGTAACATTCATATAAGTTTTGATAATTTTATTTTAATATGTGGAATTTACCGATTCGTTTGATGTATGTTCTGAGTTGTTTGTTACTAACCATTTTCTCCGTCAATGAAGCAGTCACAGGGGTGGTAAAAACTTTAGTCAAAATTGAGCTACGACACCTAATTCCGTGATTGTCTTCGACTTTGAACTGTAGGCTGGAAACCCCGAAACCAGGGGCGGACTACCTATCTTGCAGGAGTGGGATTACGCTAATCAAAGCTCTTCAGTTTTGAATCTATGTGCGATAAATGAGTTATGATTCGTAATTTCGACATATCTTGTTTTTAGTTAGATTTGCTAACTTGCTTTTAACAAAAGGATTTTATTGCACCAAAGATGAGTCACCATGGCCATTTTTAAACGTTACCGGGTTGGCTTTATTGCCGTGTTCTTGTAGTGTAAAGTTAACGTAGAACCTGGGGGTTAAGTACACTACAGTCAGTTGAATAGAAATCAAAATCCTTTAAAGACTCAGTGTAAACATTTCGCAAATTGAATTGTGTTGCTATCTGCAATCAAGTGGCCTCAAGTAGAAGTGCGATCCTTGAAGGTAAGTTCACTAAAGATTCGTGGTCGCCATTTTAGACTTAAAAAATTTTAGTTTTAAATTTAAAAAATTTGCCGATTAACTAATATGCGAGAAAATGAAGCGCGTTAAGATAAGAAGCGAGTGTAAAACCAGATAAGGATTGAAACGCCGGGCACGCACTGCTAGAGTGCTCACGTCCATTCGGAAACTTTCAATCTACCACCACCCTCCTAACTGATTCAGTCATCGGTCTGGCCCACCGACACAGTTGATAGTTTGACGTGGGTTACTCGTGCAGCCTAAGCATTATTCCGCTCAAAACGGCGTTGGTGCCTTTTACCAGAAAGAGCAATCTCAACTTATCATGGGCGTCACCACCATCTATCTTAGTAAAGAGTTCAAATACCCGGGAGGGAACTCCTATATTTGGGTAAGGTGATAAAAAAGACAACCCTGGCACGTAGAAGGCTACTGGAACTGGGGCTTAACGCCTAAACGGACCAACTGGTCCTATGAAACTATCATCAGATCCATGGTCACACACAATCTTGAATTGTTGGATGTCGAGCATCTTTAAAAGAAACGTGTAGTCCAAGACGCTCAGGATATAAAATGAGAAGTTTCATGAGTCCCAGGCTTCAATATTTGGATTTAGACGTTTTGCGAAAAATGCGGCGTCTCGTAAAAGATCAAAAAGCCCAATAAAGGTAGCGGACTAATTCTTTAATTTCTTTATATTTTTATAGCCACATGATTGTGTACATCTATAATAAGTATTTAATCTGTTGGTGTTGTTTACTCAACCACTATTGCACGTTATACCGGTCCATAAACGATTTTTTTTCTATTTTTAACACCAGATACTGCGTATGACTGCAAATTTAATTGAACAAATTGTAATGGAATAATTACTTTGACCTTGACACAATTAGTCATTTGGAAAAATTAAAGCAGATTTTTCCTGTAAAATTACGACAAAGTCAATGAATCCAAAGATCAGAGGTTAATATTAATATTTGATCCTCGATTTGATCATACAAGTACGTCACATCCGGGCTCTCACCTGGAGGTCTCTTTGCATGCTCTCCAGTGAGACACTCTCGCTACCTCCCCTTATTTTCACTTTAACGTGGTAGGTACCTACCTACTGTAGAGCTCGCCAAACTTTCCATCGAAAAGGTGAAGGTGATCAAGAAACGGTGGGGCTCTGGAGATTTAATGTTTCCATTTCTTTATAAGGAGGTAAATCAATAAACTTTAGTTTAGTTTAATGCGCAAAATAGTATGACCCACTCCTTGCACGTGCAAGATTCAACCTAATTGCATCGATAACAATTTATCTTAAGTTCCCGCACGATGTTTTTGACTGATCCGTAACGTGTAGTAATAACTGACAGTATTTTTTTACATTCTTGTTTTGGTTCATTGGCTTTAATCTACTTACTTATCAAGTTATGGCTATAATTAGAATTAAGCCAAATCTATTTCGTTGGGGTTTTTAGGCAAAGGATCTAACCCGCAATTAAGGTCAAATTAGGTTGCCGTTTGAACTAAATTTGCGCCCTTTTCTATTTTACTGAAAATTGACTTCAAAACCTGCTCTTCTAAATCGCTTGGTCGCAAAATTAAACCCAAAGTGATCATAAAATTTTGGATAATATTCATGAAAAAAAAAAAAATAATAATGAAAATGTCCTGTTTGTAGCAAATAATACGACATCGCCACGTTTAATTGATTTGTCCTCGACTGAATACAATAATAATTTTACGCGCCGATAATTTGCTTACCTAACTCCTTAACGAGTCGAGAGAACAAGAGACAAGATACAAAATAAACACCTTTATAAGCTCTAGGGCTCTTTAAAATTCTTTACGGTAACTTAAGAGGTGTTATCACCTGCTAAGTGCTTCCAGAAACCTCCTTTTGGATTTCCTGACTTTCTCTCCACCTATAGGTAAAGAGCCGAGCTTTTAATTAAGACTCACCAACGATCCTCTCGAAAACTTCAAAAACGGCTTCATAGAAATTTCCAAAGTATGTGGAATACTCTTCAGGAAGCGAAGATGCAATCTTCCGTGCCCAAAACCTATCATAAAAGTCTTGCGAGCCGAGTGTTTTTAAGGGAGGTAGTAGTTCCATGCTCCCTGAACCCCCAGCAGTCAGATGATCATTTTCTAGGGAAGATCGTTGAACTGCGAACAACGATTTTGTAGAGTATAGAACACTCGGAATGTAAGGAAGATTGGACTGTCCTTTCCCAAAAACTATCATGAGCGCCTTGAAAGTTGAACGTTCTTGTTGGAGACTGTAGTTTCGGAGGGTTAGGGGGGTGGAATAAACCCCCAAAATACGAAGATTCGGTTACTTTCCCAAAAGTAAGTGATGGCTAATCGAATCTTCATATACCGTGGGGCGGGGAGGGGGGGGTGTAGTATCGGGGGGTTTCCCATATCCATACGTAATTCTTTTTTGATTACGTCTTCCTAGACTAGCAGGATGGTGCTAGAGGTAATAGGGAAAAATTATTGAGTCCACAATTGTTGAGGACGCCACAAGGGGATATTCCTTACCGAGGAGATGGCTGGGACAACGAGGAAATTTGAGAAACCAGGGCATGTGTACAGGGCGAGTCAACGATTGCGCGGTGTAACTTAATGCCTTGAAGATAAGATTTTTCGATAGGGTGCTTTTGTATTATGATATGGTTGAATATTCTCCACATTTTAAAAATATTTGGAATTATACAGGGTGCGCCCACAAAGTAGGGTACATTTTGTTTAAATAGACCCCCTGTATTTGAATGCATTTTTGAATTCTACGTGTAACTGTACGTCTTTTTTATTACATGGTTAATATCCGAAAAGCTAGTAGTTTTAAAGATAATTCGATTTTTAAGAAAAATTGGGCATTTGCAAGCGTCAGTATACATAATATTGTCAAAATTATTACTTAGATTTTGATTCCAGGTTTTATATCTTTTGTCAAATAAATACATCTACTATAAAACATTAAAAAATAGCTTACAGGGTGTTTTTTTGGTAGGTCCAAAGTTGCAAAACTTCATATTAAAAAATCTCACAATACTTGAATCGGAAATTAAAGCACTCGGTTCCCTCGTGCTTTAATATTTTGACTTTTGTGCAAATAACCATTACAAAATTTTCCAAAAACAGTTCTATTCTAATGCCAATCAGCAAACAGTACGTAAGATAAATTGCAAAACTTAAACCAAGAGTTTCCCATGGTCATAAAGTTGATAAAAAGTTTATTTATATGAACAAGGTTTTTTACTTTACATAACACACTTAAATTCCGGAATGAAGCAGTTTATTCAACACCTTCCGTTTTTTTAGCGTTTATTAGCATCGATAATTCTTATTTTTAATTTTGTTTATCTTGTGTAATGACTAAAAAA